TAAGTATCTAAGATATATATTTTTTTTACCCGTCTTTTAAACCCCTTACTAACGTTCTTAAGTTACTTCTTAACGAATTCGCTACTATTAAGCCGCTAATAATCGAGGCCGTAAGCGAGTCTAATAGCTATCTATTACTACTTATAAACGCGTTAAAAAATCCTTAAAAAGAGCTCGAACGGATTTATAGCCATCGTTCTCTTCTATATACTTCTCTTAAACTAGCAGTAATATCTTTTAATCCAGCTATACTATCTCTCAAAACGCGTCTTTCTTCTTAATTCATTCTTTATTACTCTATTTTAACTATATTTCTTAATTACTTAATTAGTACTATTTATTCTATTAGCTTAGTAATTTACTTAGTTAAATCGTTAATTAGTTACTTAATTATTTACTTAATTAGTTACTTAGCTAGCTACTTAATCTAATACTCTATAAAAGAAGAAGTAAGAGAAGAAACTATAATAGATAAATGTAAAGAATACTACGAAGAAACTAAGCGGTAATAAGACTATTATCATTAAGAATACGGCTTAGCTCTTTAAGATTTCACGTTATATTAATTATTTACTTAGTTAGCTACTTAGCTAGTTATTTAATCTAATACTTTATAAGAGAAAAAGTAAGAGAAGAAACTATAATAGATAAATGCGGAGAATACTACGAAGAATACTATAAAGAATATTACGAAGAAATTAAGCGGTAATAAGACTCTTAATACTAAGAATACGGCTTAGCTCTTTAAGATCTCACGTTATATACTCTTTATAATTTTATATTAAATTATTACTTAGTAAGCGAAGAATACTACTATAACTTAATCTATTATTTTTACTATATTAAGAAGTAAGAGAAGAAATTATAATAGATAAATATGAAGAATACTATAAAGAATACTATAAAGAATATTACGAAGAAATTAAGCGATAATAAGATTCTTAGCATTAAGAATATAACTTAGCTCTTTAAAATCCCACGTTATATACTCTCTACGATTTCATATTAAATTATTACTTAATAAGCGAAGAATATTATTATAACTTAGTTTATTATCTCTATTATATTAAGAAGTAAGAGAAGAAACTATAATAGATAAATATAAAGAATACTACGGAGAATACTATAGAGAATACTACGAAGAAATTAAGCGGTAATAAGATTATTATCGTTAAAAATATAGCTTAGCTCTCTAAGATCCCACGTTATATGCTCTTTATAATTCTATATTAAATTATTACTTAGTAAACGGAGAATATTACTAAAAATTAGTTTATCATCTCTATTATATTAATTGAAAAGCTTACTTTCTTATTACTTAAGACTGAAATTATAAAATATTCGATAATTATAAATTTAAGATTAATTAAGTAGATTCTCAGATATCGTAATTTTAACGCTAAAATTTATCTTATTTCTTTATTTTTAATTTAAACGCGGGTACGTTTAAAAGAGAAAGTATTATAAGGCTAAATCTCGAATATTAACTTTATTAATTTATTCTATTTAATTTCTTTAACGTTACGTAATAAATAATAATAAAATAAATTTATAGAGTTATAGAGTTAATTATACGCTTTTAAATAAAGTAGCGAAGACGAAATTTAATAAAGTATTCGTAAAGATATATTAAAAACTAAGATTTTTATTTAGATTATCGAGCTTACGAGAAGAGCCCCTTCGATAGAAGCTCTCGAAGAGCTCTCGAAGAGTCTTCGAAGGGTTAGAGGGGTTTTAGAGGATCTCCCTCTAAGTATATTAAATAAAATATCTCTATCTCTCTCGATTCTTAGAGTTAGACCTCTTAAAAACCCTTAAACCCTTCGAAGCTCTTTAAGGGCTCTTTAAGAGCTTATATCGAAGGGGCTGTTAAAGCAAGCTCGAAATTAATCACTAAAATAAGTAAATTTCGAGCTTACTTTGATAGCCCCTTCGATATAAGCTCTCGAAGAGCCCTTAAAGAGCCCCCCGAAGGGTTCGAGAGGTTTTAGAGAATCTCTCTAAGAATCAAACATAGTTAAAAACCAGTACTCGGCAAGCTTTTCACTACTGAGAAGCCCGCGCCCTAGTATATATTATAATACATCACTATAATAACGTTATAAGAGGAGAATCTACTATTATAGTTAATTAGGCCTCTATAGAAGAAATATCGAATAATATATATTTAAACGAATTAAAACTATTCGATATCTATAGCTATTTTATTATTCGAAAGATTTTACTACGATAGAAGAGATTATAGAATTTATATCACTAATTAATACGTTATCTCTATTTCTTTTCGATATTTCGATACTTTTTATTATAAGAATATAGTCTTTCTCTATTTTTTATAAATAATTATTATAAATTAATTCTCTATACTTAATACACCTTTCTAATTAGACCTTAGCGCGCCTCTCTTCATATATATATATCTATATATTATATAGATTAAATTAATTTTATAATAGTAAAAGTAGATTAAAAACGTATAGTAAGCGATTAGAGTTCGATTTAACTTAGAACTAGAGCTAAAATTCGATTTAACTTAGAAAAATTCAACTTTATAAATTTAATTCATAGGTTTTTACTTATATAATATATAATAGTAGAGAGATAGATAGATATAGCGAGTATTATTTATATAATTACTATATTAATAATAAACTCTTTATTCGAATTATTCTCTTTAGAGCTATATTATTATTCTCTCTCTTACTTATATCTATATATAGCTTTATTTTACTTTAAGATATATCGCTTAGATATAAGAGTTTTTCTAGCGCTAAGAGATCTTTTTCGGGCTATCTACTTAATCTAAATATCTAAAAAGCTCTTAGCTATCTTAGTATTAAATATATTTAATTATATATCTATATATCTACTTATATATACGTTATTTCTATATAGTCTTACTATTTGCGAGTACTAATTCTCATTTTTTCATTTTCTCATTTTTTAATATTCGCTTATTCTATATTATTACTCTATATTAAGATAATTAATTTAAATTCTAAAGAGTATAAATTATAACGCGTATTCTATAATATAATTTAAAATTCGAAATTATATGAATTAACTTAATATCGACGAAGTAATATTTAATTAAAGATTTTAAAGTCATTTATCTTAACTATAGTCTACTTACTCTTTAATTAATAATAATAACTTTATAATAATTATAGAAGCTTAATACTTATAGATCTTAATATTAATATATACTACTTTCTAAGATTTAGAAAGTCTCGCATTTTATATCTATATAATCTTATATCTAAGAGAGTCTAGATCGATAAGGGCGGATATAATAATTTCAAGTCTTCTTTTAATAATAGAATGCGTTTTGATGGATCGATAAATAAATCGGGAGGTGGCTATGAAAAATGATTTTGCGATTTTGCGATTTTTAAAAGGTAGCGGCTACGCGTATAGCCTCTGTCTACTAGACGTATAGCTTCTATTTACTAGACGTATAGCCTCTATCTACTAAGTATATAGCCCTTCTAATCTAGTTAGCGGCCGCGCGAAAGCTAATGAGATTTAATCGAAAATAATAAAGAACTTATATCTAGTATCTTCGAGTCGAATATCTTTATAATAGGATATCTTATAATAGTAAAACTAACTCTTACTCTATCGCTTATCTATATTCTTCGCTTAATAATAATAGCTCTAGCTTTATCTCTCGATAACTAAATAAATATCTTATTTAATACGCTTATTCTATATATATAATAATATATAAAATTTTAAAATTATATTATTTTTAAGAGGTGTATAGTTACTTTTAAGAATAAACTTATTAGAAAAATATAACTATAATATAATTATAGCGAAAAGTTAGAAAAGAATAGTAAGAGTATAGATAAGCGTATTAAATCTAGTTAATTAATAGATTATTCGTTTTAGATTATTACGTAGTATATTAGAATAGACGATATTTAAATAAATTTTACTCTTATAACTATTAATTCTACTTATAGTTATAGTTATATCTTATTTAAAATATATTTAATAATATATAAAATCGCTATAATTTAAGATATTTAGAATACTATCGTTAATTAAACGCGTTCTAGAGCTCTATTAAAATAAATTATTTTATTCTTATAATTTAATTAAGATAAGAAAGATTTTATTCTAAAGTTACGCGATATTTATAATATTAAAACTAAGACTAAAAGTAAAGCGCTTAGATTTTTAATTTTTATATAAATCTTAATACGATAGCTATATATATAAGAGGATTAATTTATATATATAAAGAAGAATTAGCGAATATAGTAAATTAAGTCTCTCTTTTTCGCTAGAATTTTATTATAATAAATATTATAACTTAATTTAGAGATATTAATCTTAGACGCGATATATAAAACTAATAAATATAAGCTTTTACTTCTTATAATTATCGAAATTATCGTTCTTAATATATTCTTTTACGTAGAGTTCGCTTTTATAAAATTAAAATATACTAAGAACTATATGTGAATAATAAAATAACTTTAAGTCTTATATAATAAGCTTAATCTTTCTTACTTAAACGTACTTCTAATAAATACGTAAAACGCTTTAATTAAGGTTTATAAACTCGTCTTTTTAAGAGCTAAACATATACTTTACATTTAATATATTAAGAATAACGTTATATTGAATTATAATTAGTACTTTAATAAGTAAGAGAAACTAAATATCTTTAAGAAGAACTTCTATCGTATTATATACGTAGCTACTAAGAAGTTATTTAAATAGAAGTAAAACGCCTTATATGTCAAGGAAATGGATGACTGGGTTATGAATTCATGTGTGGTGTAAAAGATGTTGATTATTCTATGTGCCTGCAGGGCAGATATGTGCGGTGCCAAGCCACGCTAGGCCCAATTGGGTGGTAGCTCTGGAGGAGGCCTTGGCGTACCGTGACAACATGCCCGCAAAGAAAGAAAAAAAGACACGTCCTCGTGGCCTATGTCATTGACCAATCAAAATGCATCGTTGCTAGTGGCCATGATGCTCCTGATTTACCTCCTCATCTTCCTCATAGACCGCATAGCCATCCGGTGTGACGTCAGCGAGATATGTGTGGCCTTTGCTTGCTGATCATAGTAATTTGGCTGTGATCGTCGCAGTAGATCCTTCTCTTGTTTGCTCATTGCAGTGATGTGCCACACTAATGTGATATTGCCTAGGCATGCAGAGATAGCAGGCCAAATTGTAGTGTCGTTCTCCGCTTGCTGAGTGGCGATCTGACGTGGGATCGTGGAGAGTATATGACGTGGGATCTTGGAGAGCTGAGCCGTGTTCTTGATGATGGTGGCCTTGTTGCCGCTTGATTTCTCCGTAGTGTTCTCCACATTTGCCTGTTGCAGATCGAAGTATCCCATCTCCTCCGCTCGTAAGTGTCCTGGATTTGTATGGTAGGACGAGTTGTTGGTGTGAGAGAGGTTCTGCAGTAGTATTTCAATGCTGGGAAGAGTGGAATTGAGAGGCGTAGTAGGATTGGGAGATGAAGTAGGATTTTGGTATAGTGCGGGGCCCAAAAACTGTTCGATTCTCTCACCAAATGCAGTCATTATGTCATTGATCGTAGCTTGTGAGAGGCCGGGGACCATTTGACTGTTGGAAGACATGATGTGATGTCAAATGGCCTATTGAAAGGATTGACTTGATTGGCTGGTTTTTGCGTAGACTGAATCTAGCTGCGTAGCGGAAGCGCGGGGGGGCTGACTGTCGGTATATTGTGACTACTGGTCGAGTGACGATATAGACGACTTGGAAGAGGACCTGGGTTAGGTGTGGCTATCAATTGTCAAGGAAATGGATGACTGGGTCATGAATTCATGTGTGGTGTAAAAGATGATGATTATTCTATGTGCCTGCAGGGCAGATATGTGCGGTGCCAAGCTACGCTAGGCCCAATTGGGTGATAGCTCTGGAGGAGGCCTTGGCGTACCGTGACATTATAGAAGAATTATATCGAGTATTACTTATTCGCGATTATCTATATCGCGGATAATTTAATTCCTCGAAAGAAGAAGTAAGTAATCTTTTAGATTAATTAATATTTATATTTTAATAATCGAGCTACTTCGCGAGGGGAGTTAAATAATAATAAGCTTAAGAGATAGCTATATAGCTTATCTATTAATAAGATTACTCTTATTTTATACGATGAAATAATAAATTAATCGAAGGGTATTATAGATAATTTAAAGATTATTATAAATGCTATTAATTTGATATTTATAAATAAACGTTTAAATTATAATATCGTATTTAATAAGATCTAAATACGCCTTTCTATTTATATTAAGAAGTCTATTTTTCGAGACCTATATATTAAAGTTTTATTATTCGCCTTTATAAAAATATTATCTTACTATAATAAAGTAATTAATTATACTATAAAGCTATATATTAAGTACTTTATTATAATAATAGAGTTATTCATCTATAAATCTAAAAAGTTTCTACTAAATTTTAAATTGCTGATCTTGCGAATAGGGCTGAAATTAAGAATTCCGCCGGTTTAGTAACTATCTTAAAAATTAGTTAAAATTCCGTCGATTTAATAACTATTCTAATCTTTTTCGTTAGTTCTATTAGTTTAATAGTAATATATATAAAAAAAGAAAAGTTCTAATAATCGATGTTATGACGATAAGGTTCTATAGTAACGAGTATCAATATTAACTCAAATTTGGCTACGGAATTAAACGATTTAATGAAATTAGTCGCGTGGGTAATACTCTAATATAGCGCATATTAATGATAATGTATATTGATATTATATATATATAGAATAGTACTTAGAGTATATTAGAGTGCATTACGTAAAATTTTTAAAGTTATTGAATTTTTTTGAAGTTGCTAAATTAATAGAACTGATGAAAAGAATTAGATATAGATAAAGTCTACTTAATAGACTAAATTATACTTATAATGCGGACTCGGCGAAAATCGTGCGGAAATTCACTTTTCAGATTTGTAGATATTATATATATACGTTATAAAGTTTTATATATTAGAGAGAGTTAAAGTATTATTATTTAAAGATATTTATTCTTATAATTTTATTAGCGAGTTAATAAGTCTATTAATATACGTTATTATAAAAGTAAGAATAAGAATAATAAGAAGAAGAAGAAGAATATTATAGACGCGTTTTTATATATTAATAAATTAACTATAATTTAATTTAGAGATTAATTAATAAAAGCTAAGAATATAAAGAAGAAGCGTACTCGCGAGGAAGCCTTCGAGGACTCTACTTAACGCGAGCTCTCTCGATTTAAGTATATATAGTAATAATAATAACTAATAATTATAACGAGTTAGATAAAATAATAAAAGGAGAAGAATAAAGTAGATATATTCTTTAATATTAAAGGCTATAGATAAGAATTAAAGCGTATATCTATATCTATCTCTATATCTATCTCTATACTATAAGCTTTATAATTACTATAATAATTATCTCGACGATTAGATATTATATAAGAAGAGTAGCGAGATAGATAAATTAAATAGACTATAAGAGAAGAATAGCGAGATAATACTATATAAGAATAGCGAGATAATATTATATAGGTCTATATATAGAATAATAAGATTATATTTAATATATTTTAGATATAGAAAGACTAGCTAGCTAATAAGTAGTTGATATTTAAGTATAATAGACGTATTTTTAATAGTAAGTAGAGAGAATAGTTAGCTAATTAGCTATCGCTATAGAGAAATTATTTAAAGATCTTATTAATCGACGAATTAAAATTATTTAATATTATAAATTTATAGAAAGAGATATAGAGAGACTTATTCTACTACTATTAAATATCTTTATAAGAATCTTAAAGACACTAGATACGGGTTCTTTACTATTTCTGATTAAATTTCGTTAGCTTCCGCGCGGTCGCTAATTAGATTAGGGGGGCTATACGCTTAGTAGATAGAGGCTGTACGTCTATTGAATAAGAGCTATACGCCTAGTAGACAGGGGCTGTACGCGTAGCCGCTACCTTTCAAAAATTCGAAATTGCGGGGTTAACCCCCTGGTCCAAATGGGTTGCCCTAGTATTGTGCTGACGGAAGCTAGCAAATACTTCAGACTAGCGCTACTATGGTAGTTTCGGGGATGATGGCTAGGGGTTTTTGGCAGTTAGTTGGGATTGGATTTAAATCACCGGAATCTAGAGCCATAGAGGGGAGAAGTGGAGAAACCGTAGCATATACACAGAGAAGAAGACTTGTTCAAACACACCATTAGATTGTCCCTAGCGAAGACAAAGTTGATAATCTCTGGAGACTTCAATTTCACAGCATCTACGATCGCCCAAGCCAACCCTGCGCGACCCGAACCGCACTCGGAAGCCCCAGCAAATTCGGTCACCTATCCTTGCGTATACAAATTTCAGTAGGACTGAACTAATTCTTTCCAGCACATCTGATCGGACAGCTTTGCTCATGCAGCTTTAACATGGACGTATGCCCCGGGACCCATGGCCGCTACTGCACTCGGCCGTTCCGTTATGGTGGCATATTATACAGTGGAACCGTAGGGTCCACCTATCTCACCTTTGTTTTTTGCCTTATTCACGAAGAAGTTTGCCGCTCGTACAACAGGAAAATCCTCCAGCTTTCAATGCGACAAGCGCCAGAGAAGGCTGGGAGTTGCAAGTGGCAGTACCGTAGCACTATCTTATCTTCACCTCGGGTTAAGGTAGTGGCGCCATTTTCTTCAGCTAACTGTTCTGTCGACTGAGGCCGCATTCATAGGATCTCCTTCTAAGCCGACTGCATCTCCTATTGGACCAATCGAATTGAAGGACATTTTCGAGCGACCTCCTTTGTTGAGAAAAAGCCACACGCCGGACCGGTCGAACCTGTACCCTGTGTTACGAACACGCCACAAGTCGCACAAAGACTTGTTCAGTCAGAGAAGAACAATGACGGGGCAGGCAACCTACAATGCTGGACAAAAGAAACAGACCGATTTTTTTGAAGACAATGGTCCATTGTTATGAATTATCTGCTAGTAGCGTGAGTGCTGCCGTTAAGTACTTGGTATTTTCTCTCGTGTCCCTCAATCCCCAAGATCCTCCACTCAACTCACTTCCCAGAATCTACACAGCATACACCTCTGCAACAATTACTCAACCGTCACAACGAAATTACAATCATGTATAGACAGGAGTTCCTCTCTCAGCTCTTGAGCACTGAGAACACTGTGCAAGCGGACGGAGCGCAAGAAGAATGCATGATCTGCAGCGAAGTCTACGGAACGATGTCAACCGAAACCGGAAAAGTCGAGAGACAGATTCGTCTGCCATGCGATACCAAACATACCGTTGGTTCGGACTGTATCGCGAAATGGCTAGAGGAGCATAACACGTGCCCTGTATGTCGACATGAGTTCTTTCCAGCACGAGGTCCTTACTACGATGACGAAGACGGATCGCGTCGCTGGGTTGGCAATCTTGAGCCTGACTCCGACTGGGATTCCGAGGAGTACGATAGCGAGGATGCCCAAGAAGAAGAATACGATGCAGACCCAACAAGCATCTACGGTGCCGAGCCATTGATTAATCTCTGCCATCTGCTCTGCAACGCCATCGGCTTCGAAAGAGACAACCACCCCGTGAAGCGAGCCGCCGCCCTGGTCGTATCGGGGATCCTGCACCTGAGTATTCTTCAAGATGCTTCGCCCTTTAGCAACTTCAGCATCGCAGCCGCGTGTGTGTACGCGGCCGGGCACCTATGTGGTCGGAGAAGAGCGATGTGGCGTATAGTCCGGGTGTGGCCGATTCGTGAGAGGAGCGTACGCGATGTTTATCGGAGGGTGATATATGAGGAAACTCATACAAGGTGGATTCGGCGAGATTTAGTTGAACTGATTCATGCAACGAGTCGGATGGATGCGTGGAGGATTCTCCCGGAACCGAAAGAGATGATCAGAAGGCGATGAGGGGGTGCCGTGTGCTTGATGGAAACCGGTGGCTAGTAATAGCATGATGATGTATAGGGCTAGCCTAGGGATGGTCGAGTATAAAGTTACAAATTCCCTTTTCACACAGCCACATCAACTGCTCATAATTTCTCTGAAGCGTTCATACAATCATCAAAGTTTCCATGCAATCCCAGTCACTTTGAATGATGTTGAGTACCTGAAGCAGTAGGCGGAAGAGGGCGAGAGTAGGGAGCCCCTAGGTTCTATTCTATAAGCGAATGATTCGGAGCAAGCCTTATGCAAAGGTATCGAGGAGCACTCAAGTCTAGCACGATAATCAAAGTAAGACAGTGAGTTGATGGTAAAAGCTATTGTCCCGCCAAACAAACCTTCGTCGTCGAATCAGAGTAAAGATTGTGTGACCCCCCCCCCCAACTCAAAGTCATGTGCGCTAATCGCTAATCGTAGCATCCCCCGTTTTCATAACCGAGGATTAGAGTAGAGACCGAAGTACAACTTGCCACCCTAATATCTCACATTATCTCTTGTCGCCCACAATTGTCGTCGAAGGCCCCCCTGCCCAAACCGACTCGATCGTAATCCCTAACAGGTGAATTCACGATCAACATTGCAGGTAGAGCCACCATAAGTACCCATGCTACACGGCAGAAATTGCTCCTCCAGCCCGCTCTGTTGTAAAGGAAGTTGGAAGAATCCCTGGGTTTACCGGGGTCAGTCATAAAGACGGCAGGAAGTTCGCTGTCGGTTTTTGGAGTCTGACCTGCTTCGATGGGGTTCTGGCCGTTTCCGCCAATGCCGCTACTGAACCCCAGAATAGCATAAGGCGCCTCTCGAGCTCGCTCTTACTCAGTGTCCTCAGCACACTCAATAATTTCCAAGGCCGAAGACTTGAATGATTCGAATTTTATCACATTATTAGCATTCTTTAACCCTCAAGGCTTAAGCATCGCTGATATAGATCGCTACACAACCTCTGCAGGCGCTGGAAAATGCAATCGAAGTTTCCAGCTCTCAGCCGTTCGTCTTCTCCAGCCACTTTGCGGATATCACCGATAATGGATTCGACATTCGATGGCGTTGAAGAAATGGCGTCGGAAGCAGTTGTGGGAGGGACGGGCGATATGTCGATCCCATAAACAGAGGCGGAGGGGTATATCGAGCCCAGATGGCGCGTTACAATGCCAGTGCCCCAACCTACGTCAAGTATCTCGGTCGGACTCTTGAGGGGTGCATGGACAATCTTGTCTTTCATCAGATCGGTGTAGCTAGCTGCTTGGTCATTTAGGCGGGCATGCTCTGCAGCGCTGGCATGGTGAATCGTCGTTAGACTTCGGTGGTATAAGAGATGTTACATGCTGGGAAGTGCTTCCTCGTTTCTTGGTAGATTGTATTCCACATCTTTGTAGTCGGGTTTTTTGACTGCATCTTCGTTCGACTCGGACATCGTGGATATATATCTCACCGAAGCTGCTCCGTCGAAATAGAACAGGGGAGATTTAATCCGTTGACAGGCCATGTTCGTTCCCAAGCCTTCAATGTCGAGGGGCTTGATCTGTCCCCACTTTCGATGCAGGGATTGCAATTAGTGATTAGTGGGGGAAGATCGTAACCGCCGTCAAGACTAATGCGAGACTATCAAGACCTTAAGACTACTTAAGACCTGAAGGCTAACCAAAGCCTTGAACGATGGACTTAGGATTAATGCTAGCGACCGGCGGTGGGAGGAGTCTAGGTAGAAGTCAAGGAGCAACTGCCACGTCGCACCTTCGTCACCACCAGTTCCACAAAGGTTGCTTTGTAGGCCAAGGACTTCTTCGATCTATTTCTCGTCATTCTCCACATCTGTATAGATCGACCATCTACTCCAGGTCCAAGCCGTACAGGCATAGGAGTCTCTTGATGCTGAGCTACGCTGATGTCCCCGTTCGCGCCTGCCAGCCCTGGCGTCGACACAGCCCAATCACATACACATATATTCAGCTGTGGCCGTGAAGTGTACTCGAATATGCGACAAACAATAAGCCTAGGGGTCGGGGGAATCGGTTTGATGGTTTGTTGCTAGGATGTTTCCGGAAATATCTACATCCTTTCAAGAATGAGTTGATCGCTGTAACGCCTTTTGGCGGTAATCAAAAAAGATAAAAATAAATGCCAAGAATTTTACTCCCGGTTGATCCCAAGATTAATGAAAGAGTGATGAGTTCTTGCTGACAATCTTTCTATCGCTATAGAAACCTCTGCCCTGGATCGAAAGAGGCTTTTAGAGTTGCAGGTATCAACAGAAGTGAGACATGCATGTCCCAGTAGCGTGGTTCGCCAATCAGATGTGCGGCAGATGCAGACACCGGATATTTCCCGAGACACCTCCTTGCCTCGCACAATCAAATTTTTTGCATTGACTTCACACGTCCCCGCGGAACGTCGACATTCGTCACGATCAGCCGATGACAGTTTTTGTTGCTTGTAAAGATTATCTTGACCGAAAGGCTGCCTGTATGGCACTTAGAACAGGACTGTTGAGCCTGCCACAGTGGCGGCACGTCCCTCGCCATGTGCACTCGCAAAGAGTAGGGTTCTCGAAATCCTTGCGGCGTCCCCAAGCGCCTGGTCCGGATCAGAAGCCCAAGCCTGAATCAAAAGAAGACTCTTCGACAGGCGCTGCACAGGATCAACAAGAACCGCAACACGCTTCGGATTGGAGTAGAACTCTTTTCAGTACAGCTGCGTCGTGGAAATCTGGATGGAGAACCCGGTATGCGGAAAATCTCTCGCACAGACTGGCTGTGTATGGTGTCTTGGTGTTCTTTTCTGGGGCGACGATTTTCTATTTCGTCGCTTTTGAGCGGGTACCTATCACAGGGAGGAGACGCTGTAGCTGGCTACCGCAGTCGACATTGACGAGAATGGAGGAGATGGAACGTGTTGATATGGAAAAGTTCAAGGAGAATGAGGAGAAGCTGGTCGTAAACAGTGACTACCCGGGGCTTCGAAAAATCGAAGCCGTGTTGGATCGTCTGGTAAAGGCCAGCGGCTTGGACGATATAGCATGGGAGGTTCGTATCCTCGATGATCCGAGTAAGTTCATGCTATGACCGTACTTTTCTGCTCTTCAGCTTGCCGTGACATACATCCCGGGATCTAAAGGTCGCTGTTTGTTACAGGACTGACCCTGTCTCAGACGCAGAGATCTCTTGCGTCACCAGGTCCGGCCTCGTATTGATCTCCACCGGCTTCTTCTACCACGCCATCAGCAACGATGACGAATTGGCTGCCATCTTGGGCCACAATATCGCATCTGTCCTGGCGCGTCATGTCCTCGAAACAAAATTCGTTATACTGGCCGACAAGTACTTTACCAGACCATTCCTTCCGCTCGCTCTCTTGGCCTCCATCTGGATTGAAGGCATAGTTTTCCTTGTTCCTTTTTCGGTATCCTGGCTGGCATCGCTCGCTTTGTCGAGAGTCCGGCAACGAGAAGCGGACTATATTGGTCTTTTGTTGATGACGGACGCTGGTTTCGACCCTTCGGGCGCTGTCAGCTTCTGGAAGAAGGTCAATGAGTGGCAGGAGCAGCAGCGTCGTGCAACGAAAAGGATCAGGCAAGATCCCCAGTTCAGGTCCACACATCCTCATGTACGTCTATTTCGCCTCTTCTTGTACTATTCGAATCCTCACATTCGCGGCTCTGCCCACCTATCGTGTGCCATACATAAGCAAGAGTCTGCAGACATGATTCCATAGCGCTCGAGCCTCACATTTTCATATCTACTCGCCAAACTCTCGAGTCCATTTTTTTCTTCGTGGATGAGCGCTGACGACCGTGCCGCAACAAGTCTGCTTCAAGAAGCAAACAAACGGAGAAATGGATACCGGAGATCCATTACATCTTGGAGGGCCCGCCGTCCGCTACGGACTCGGCAGTTAGGCAGCCTCGGAGACTGGTAGCCCAAAAACGTAGATGGCAAGAATTTGCGAGAAAAAGAGATGAATCTCGACGACTGATATGGGAAGAGGTATAGGCGAATGCAAAGTGACTGGGGAAAAAAAATGTACGAATGTCAAATCGTTTGGGCCATGAAGCAGGTAACTGCCAGCTATTTTCGGCGCGCTCAGCAGATTTTTACTGGTTTTCTCGGGCAATTGACTAGATGGCTCACAGTTTCACAGCCAATCAAAAGTAGGCGTAGTGTTCATTTGCATCTCAGATGACGTGTCTTTGTAGCGTGGCTCATGAAATCACCAGGCGCCAGAGCCTATTACTTGCGCAACATCATGCACGATACCGATGACAAAGACGCTCGCATACTTCCGCAATGATACAGTGGGCTGTTTAGATACGAAAAGGCCCTTTTCGCGCGCTATACAACATCACTTTTTGGCATATCGACATAGAAAAGACGTCAACGATAGGTCGCGGCTATTCTCATCCCTTTTGCTTTCGGAAGTCAGTGATCGTATGGTCGCCTTTGAAAGGGCCGTTCCCGATTGACTGCGAACGGCCAACACGAGCCGGCACCGCTAAGATTTGCACATCGTCCATTATCTGATTATTTCCTCACTCTTACCTCGTAATTCCAACGTAGACTTCCACATCATCCTCGCACTCCCCATTACACGACCCCGTCATCCGGCTCCTCCTCCCAAGCTTCCACTCCTTCGGGAACCGCCACACCTTCCAGCTTCCTCTTCGTCCAAATGTGCGTGGCATCGCTGAAATCCACTTTCTGATCCAGCGTTCCCGCTTTAATACTGAGCCACTGCGGCGCCTTTGGATTGCTATGGTAGATGCGAACCCCACAATCCGTGCAGAAAATACCACCACGAGTGCCTCCGGAGTCGGTTCTGCGCTCGAAGTGACCGATGTGTTTTTGGGATGAGGGCGGCAGGTACACGCCGGCTGATGGTACGACGAGAGTGAGGGCGAAGGCAGAGCCGGATTGTCGTTGGCATTCGTGGCAGTGGCAGACATTCAGGGAGTGCGGTTCTGAGTGTATGGAGTAGGTGACTTTGCCGCATTGGCAGCGGCCGGTGAGTTTGGGTTTCAGGGTGGAGCCCATGGCTGGGACTGAGGAAAAGGGTGGATACAAAGTTTGTATGTAGAGGAAGAGAGGAAGAGATGGTTAGGAAAAGGTAACTGTGTGAAGTTTTATCATGAGTTCTGAGATTAGGTTGAGATCAAGTTACGTAAACTTTGCTTGTATGGTCGTGAAATATAACAGACTATTGATGAGTTCCCAACAGCTCGTCAGATTCGACATCTATCATGAAGCCTGAAGCATGAGAAATAGTTCCACCTCGGTGCGAACCATACGAGATACACGAGCTATGCGAAAGACGAGGTCAGAAAGCTAAGGGATCCTTTGATGCTTACTGCTTAGCCTGCTCAGCCTGATGACCATGACGTGTGCCCCCGCTAGCGTCGCCTATCTCGCTAATGCAGGGATGATACTAGCGTGGCTACCGGGGACTGGCATCAATGTCCAACGTCCAGCCATCCCAGTATCTCATCGTCTTGGACTGATCAATTAATCAATCAATCTGTCATTATGCGCTTTCCAGGAGCACTCGCGCTTCGCCTCTCATGAGTGCCTGAGACCCTGTGCCAAATTGCGCCTCTCAACCCCGGTCGAGATTCTCGGTGGTCCACCTTTACGACGTGTAACATCTCTATTGGGATCCCCGGAAGGCTCCGCTTTCCTTTCTCGGACTACACGTGGCTATGCCTCAAAAACGAGCCAAGACCGGCTGCTTCTCATGTCGCAAACGGCGCGTCAAATGCGACGAAGCTAAACCAGAATGCCAACGATGCAAGTCGGCCAACGTCCACTGCGAAGGCTACCCCGCCAAGAAAGTGCTATCTCTCAGTATTCCGGAAAAGATGCTCGAAAGGAGAATGTCCAGCTACTCTGCGAGTCCCCTCGACGTAGGAAATGATGCCCTCCTCAATGCGGCGAACGTCGCCCTACCATTCTACCACCAATTCATTACACAGACTGTCTATGCAATTAGCGGCGGCACTCGTCAACGTTTCTGGCGAGAAGATGTTGCGAGGATGGCTTGGTCTACTGATTATGTCTATCATGCTATGATCTCACTCGCAGCGATGCATAAAACATCCACAGACGCTAGCCGTGGACGACCTTCTCCGGCCGCGCTGAGGATGTTCGCGTTGCAAAATTATCAGCAGGCTATCAAACTGTTATCGAATGACAGTAATGCAAGTGCATTGAAGCCGATTCAAGTCCTAGCTACCCTGACGCTATTTTCTTACTTTGAGGTATGCTGTGTACCACTAGTGTCAACCTAGTTTGACGAAGACCTCGAAGCTAATGAAGTCAGTGCTTCATTGGCGGCTCTGTCGGCTTATTCCGCAATCTTTGGGCCGCCATCCAGGTATTCGAAGCTCATGTTCGCAACCAATCTCGTCTGGACGGCTATCAAATC